TTGTGACGGGTGCTGTAAAGCAAGCTAGATAGGTAGGGTGCACTTCCGCCGTCTGAGGAAACTAATACAAAGCAAAGAAGAAAGCATTTATTTAAAAAAGTAACTTTTATCCTGATTACTGTGAAATGAGCTGTCATCTTTTTGTAATAAATCTATACCGATGGGGACTCTGAATACCTATACAGGATAGAAATGAACAATCTAATGACTAAGTAATGACTGGTAATAGTCGAGACGACGACTGTTCCCTGTGAAATGTATGCTGATACTCAGTTAATTTTACAAGTGACCACATCGCTAGCCACTGCTGCAGTTTTTGGCAGTTGGCTGAGAGACAAAGGTTAACTTGCCAAATATTAACTAGTCTTTTATGGTAAACGTGTTCTCTTCGTATGAAAGTAAATGAGGGCCAGGGAAAATGTGTAGCCGGACAGTTATACCTCTGCTCTTCATGCTGATGTGTTACAGCAACCACTGCATGAAATTTCTGTGTCTTTACAGAGACTCTCAGGCTGGATCATCATTTTAGTTCACTGTTCCTTCCAAAGCCATTTTTCAGAGCTGATTCTTGACAAATCCATCATACAGGGACCTCGACTCCAGAGTTATCAAAAGAGTAAGCTCACAGCTCTTGCAACTCTGCAAGCTAAATAGTTGACCTAGAGAGATTTTTAAGTGGTGCAAAATGTCAGGTTTCGTCTACTTCTACAGTTAAATGTATTTTGCCATTAGGAAATATTTCCTAAAATGCAGGGTAAGATTTCCTTCTTTAAAAAAAAAATTTCAAAAAATTATGCTCTTATTTCCTGTTTTACAACCATTTTCATCACACTGAACTATTCCTCACTTTCCTTTTTATGTTTTAAAGCATTTTATTTTTTAAAATTTGCATATTCTTAGTCCTCTTGATTCAATTTTTCCTAATGAAACAAACCTACAGAAATAATTTTTCTGAGTTATTTCTGATTATTTTACACCTTTTGGTTATTGAGTAATCTAGAGCTCTTTTTCCAAATATAGATGGACTAAAATTGTGTTGAAGAAGTGATTGCTATTGACTGATGCATGTGGCACTTTGCATACTCATCTGAAAAAAAAATTGCATTTTTTAAAAATCATATTCTGTTGCAAAGTCTGATTAATTTGTAGTACATGACTGTCTCCATCTCCCAAGGTACTACAGCTTTGTGTTCATTCTTTTCTGGTATGTATCAGCTAATTTTAGTGCTGCTGGTAAGGCTCAGGACACTGTTGTGCTCAGTGTTCTGCAACACCACCACTATAACAGACTGCGATGCAGAAGTAATGTTTTTAGCTCTCAGAAATGGCTGAAGGAATTATGCACCAGTTAAGTTTAATTCCACACTGGACAAAGTGATTGAAGAATAGAAGTAGACGCATAGGTAAATGCAGTGCAAAGGGAAGAGTTAACATAGTTCTTGCAAAGGGAACAAATCTAATTCTTTGAAGGAGTTAATGAGTATGATGAGGATGTTGAGCCAGTCGCTAATAATGCAGATTTCAAAAAACTTTAAATAGTGTCCTCCAACTAACTTATAGAATTAGAAGAACCTGTCATGAGATAAAAAGGAAGATCCAGTTCAGCAACAAAGTAAAAAAAAAAAAAAGTGTATTTTCACAATGGAAGAAGCTTAACAACTGAGATCCAGAGAAATCTGCATGTTTTTTTCAGCGTTTTCAGAAGTGATCTGAAAGAGGGAATTATAAAGTGGCAAATTCTGGCAATGATATGAAGATATTCCGTAAAAAAACTTATTTTGAATGTTTTCAGGAGGCTGTTATGAAACTTAGTGGCTGGATAATAACAGAAGATTCAGTTTTGGTAAATGAAAATTAATGTAGCTATGCAAAAACTAACACTGCAATAGAACAGAATAGACTATTTCACTTGGAAGGCACCTACAATGATCATCTAGACCAACTGCCTGACCAATTCAGGGCTGACCAAGTTAAAGCATGTTATTAAGGACATTATCCAAATGCCTCTTAAACACTGGCAGGCTTGGGCCATCGACCACCTCTCTAGGAAGCCCGTTGCAGTGTTTGACCACCCTCTCGGTAAAGAAATGCTTCCTAATGTCCAGTCTAAACCTCCCCTGGTGCAGCTTTGAACCATTCCCAATGCATCCTATCACTGGATACCAGGGAGAAGAGATCAATCAGCACCTCCCTCTCCACTTCCCCTCCTCAGGAGGCTGCAGAGAGCAATGAGGTCGCCCCTCAGCCTCCTTTTCTCCAAACTAGACAAGCCCAAAGTCCTTAGCCGCCCCTCACAGGACATCCCTTCCAGCCCTTTCACCAGCTTTGTTGCCCTCCTCTGGACGCATTCAAGGACCTTCATGTCCTTCTTAAATTGTGGGGCCCAGAACTGCACACAGTACTCCACGTGAGTCTGCACCAACGCTGAATACAGCGGGATAATCGCTTCTTTTGACTGGCTGGTTATACTGTGTTTGATGCACCCCAGGATGCGGTTTGCCCTCTTGGCTGCCAGGGCACACTGCTGACTCATATTGAGCCTGCTGTTGACCAGCATATATATTCATATCAAAGATTTTCTTAATATTATTATGGATAGTTCTGTGAAAATGTTATCTCAATGCTCAGAAACAGTCAAAAAGACAGGCAATGATAGGAATTCTTAGGGAAAAAAAGGACAGAAGACCTATTTAGTTCATGATAATGAACAGTGTTGTTAATTTAAAAATAATAAATGGAGAAGAGTGATGAAAATTATCAAAGGCGTGAAACAACTTCCATAGAAGAAAAGGTTAAATAGCAATTTCTTCAGCTTGGAAAGATAGGACCCAGAGAGATTATAATAGAGGATTGTAAAATCGGGAATGACATGGAGGGAATAAATAAGGAGTGACCATCAGCTACATCTTACAGCAAAAATTAGGAGATGCCCGACTAAGTTGTCAGGGAGTCGAGAAGCAGTTTTTCAAACTGCAGAATTAAGTTGTGAGAAATTAAAATCTGAAGCTCACTGTCATAAGTGTTTTGGATATCAAAAACATGAATGGGTTTAAAAAAAAACCTATGCAAATTCATAGAAAAAAATGTCCTCTGAGATTTATTAAAACACAGTGATATAAATACCCTCTGTGTCATACCGAGTCCCAAACTGCTGTTTCCTGGAAGTTTAGGAGGCTTTGTCAGGGAAGGAACTATTTTCTTGCTTCTTATGTGCCTTTTGCAAAACACCTGCTACAGGCTACTATTGCAGACAGACGCCATCTGTCCATTTTTATTTTTAACACTTAAGTATAGGCCTAAAATTTTAAGCAGTGAAGCAATTGCTTTTGAAATTATGATCATGCATATAGCCTGCTTGAATTACAGTACAGATTTCTACATCACACACTTTATTTACAATATATTCTTACAGTATAATTCTTGCTTATTCTAGTGTTAGAGAAAATATTGTTTAAACAGGTAAAGGAATTTTTACTGTTATGTTCACAGAGTTTCAAAAGCAGGAATAGCTCTGCTTTGAATATCCCAGTGATATAGCTTCTTTTACTTGATTATACACAAAGAATGCACAAGCTGTCCAAAGTTATATTCAAACAATGTATAATTCATAACCGTAACAAGTAAAATACTTTATTTGGTCTTTTATCCTCTATTCTGTATTGGTACGTTTTTCCCACTTACTATTAATGATGAATTACAGTCATAGGGCATCCTGTAACGACAAGTGTCTTGGGCGTCGGCGGCTTTCACTCCATGCATGCACGAAGTTCCTGAGCACTGTACTAGGAACGCGATGGGAGATCTGTCAGTCTATCTTTGCCTTCACTGGTTCCAAATAATCCCTTATCTTCCAGCCCTTGGATCTATGTAAGTACTTTTGAAATTAGGAGCTTTTAAACATCTAGGATCATCAGTATTTGTTTTGTGGGATGTATTTGCTTGTTTTTAAACTTGTGCTATCACATGCTACTTGGAATTTTAATATCCCGGCATGAGCTGTCAATTAGCTTCCTTGAGCAGAGAACTCCTTTCAGCAGTACCCATTGACTTTCAGGGAGGTATGGCAGCTGGCTTTCTCTAAACTATGGAGGGGGAAAAATGAAGAGATACATCAGACTGTTCTGGGGGAAAAAAAAAGTGAAATACATTATGCTAACTTTCATTGCCTTCAACTCAATTTCACCTAGCTAGTAGGTTATTTTAGAAGGGCTGCAATATATGTATAATTGGACTAAAATTTCCCCTTTCCTAACCTGGACTAACAGTTTTAATTTCACAGTTTTTTCTTTTTTTAAAGAATCTCTTTATCCGGTGTAATAATTTCTTTTCTTTTGGGATTTCCCTGTGTCCTAGTTTCGGCTGGGATAGAGTTAATTTTCTTCCTAGTACAGTGCTGTGTTTTGGATTGAGGGTGAGAATAATGTTTATTATTATTATTATTATTATTATTA